ATTTCACAACCGCAAGAAACGCACTCTTTACCGTACCGTTATTTAATTGTTAGGTACCGCTTATGATGATCATTGTTAATAATAACGGAATAAGGCTAGCTCATATGCTCTGAAATTTAAAATTAGTGTCTAAATTGTTATTAGATCAAAACAAAAAAAACGCTTATAATCGCATTTCAAGGTCATAATTTGTGTCGAACAATAAATAGTGCAAGTTGATACGTCATCTGATTCAACGGTTAATAGCACTAGCGCAGATGTGAAATTTGCGACTGAAACTAACATTTTTTGCTTGATATCATAAACAAGTAACAAAGTTTTGCTTCATGGATTGCTCTAGAGATTCAGCAGTGGCTATCATATGCAAATCAAGTCGGAATATTGAATTAAATAAATTTTTGCTGTCTTTCTTCCTGATGATTGTATAAAGCATTTTTTGCATTCTTGAAGTGTACAGCATCAAATATGTCGAATAATTTTGCTTACAGTATTAAGGAAATACATTGCAAATTAAAATCTGATTAATGATGTATGTTTAATTATTCTACATCATGTCAATTCAAACTTAGACAGATTTAGTTTGGTATGGGTTATTAAGAAAGTCAGGTTTTCATTAATGCTCAACTGTGATCATTTCGTTAATTCTTTCATTGTTGAAAGATAATAAAATAAGGTTAATATAAAAACTGCGATGTTTGTTTTTTATCAGTGCAGCATCACGGCGTTGAAAAATTGTGTTATCGCAATAGGGTTTGATGCAGCTCAGATGCAGTGTACCCGGAAGAACTTTTATACGATGTTTTCTTCGTAAAGATATGTAGCCCACCACTATCAGTCTCACATTCACAATGAAGTGCCTCCGAGTCCTTATAAACGAATTTAGGCATGCCGGTAGCAAATGAAGGAAGGAAGAACATCAAAGAAGGACGCTCTGTCACACAGAATGTAGGAGAAGATAGTCTGGCACTGCGGGGAGATTTAGCAGAGAGGTTTACTCGCTACCTGGAAACATACGGTGCTTACGATCAGTAGCCTGTTTATCAACTGATGTTAAAGAAAATATTAAGCTGAGATGTAAGGAGTGTTTCTGAGAGAAACCATATCTTTAATTTGCGACTTGAAGCACTCGATTCACAAGTTTATTGTAATTGCAAAATAAGTAGTTTAAATCTGAT